TAGCGACCCCTCCTTGGATTTCCAAGGTGATATCACTAGAGAACTAGATTGCACAACCTTCCTTCAGAGGCGTGGCTGGTGGGTTTGAACTGCCAGACTTCTGGTTAGCAGTCAAGTGCTTTAGGCACTACATCACCCAAGCTCCCTCCATAGACATAGCACCTTAGAAACCCTAGGAGGGCTCACTATGAGTTAGATCCTACTCAAGGGCAGTGAGCTTGGTGGTTTTTTTTTTCTTTTTGCAAGTATTTATACTACTATAGCACAAGTGACATGTGGTCACATTATATGTAGATATTTTTCCTGATGGGGAAGAATATACTTATGTTAGCAATCTAGTAAAGTGTCCTCAGCCAGAAATCTGAAACTTAGGGTCTTAGGTAAAAATGAATCACTGGGCCTTTTTCTCTGGACTCTGGGTACTGAAACAGGTGGACCTCTTTGAGGCCTCTGAGAAAAACTATCATTCTCCACTTGCCTTTAATAGGGTCCTTAAATATTCCAGCCTTATCAGAGTTTTACAGCAGAGTAATAAAGGGCGAGCTGTGTTCATGCTTGGGTCAAAGTGTTAAAAGGGGAGCATCACCCTGTAAGTACAGTGGTGGTGGCAGCAGTAATTAATGAGATTCCTTTCAGGGAGATGACCCTCCCAGGATAACAGAACCAATTCTAGGAAGAGAAACTGCTCCTCCCAATTGGAGGTGGATACCTCAGATTTTGCTTTTATTAAAGGCAGCTGCAGTTTCCTTAGCTACATCACTAAATAAACCAGCCTCTTTTGGTCTTGGAAGAACTCCCTACCTCACTGTTACAACTTACTGAAAATATTATATGAAGTTGAAAATGTATTAAATAATTCCAAATTTTACCTACTATATAACAACACAAAAACTTAAGTGACTTGAAACCATTTTGTTTTGTTCACCATTTTGTGGTTGAGAAACCTGGAAAGTGATCATTCAGGTGTTTTGTCTTTTGATGCATGTGGCTCAGCTGGAGTGACAGAAGCTAAAAGATCCTCCCAGGATGGCTACCTCACTCACATTGTCTGACTTCATCTTGGTGCCTCTTTCTAGGTCTTACCCTATAAGGCTTCCTCATGTGACTTGGCCTTCACCCAAGCATAGTGATCTTAAGGCTGTTGTACTTAAATTGTGTGTGGCTTCCAAGGGAGCAAGGCAGTAGCTGCCAGGCCTCTTGAACACTAGGCCTGGAATCAACATAGCATATCTTAAACTGTCTGCTTATTGATCAAAGTAGTCACAGACCAGTCCAGACTTAAGAGAGAGGGAAATAAGACTCACTTCATGGGAGGAATATCAAAGAATTTGCAATTATCTTTAATTGGCCATAAGTATAAACACAAACATTTCCCCCTTCCACAAAATACCAGTATAATGCTGAGTTTTCAGCAGTTTGCAAACATTCTGGGTGCCTTAGATAAGGATGTGGTACTATTATATTGTGTATTCACATATGTATACACACATATATAGTGTATAAGTAGTATGCTATATATATTGTTCAACAATTTTTATATGTAATGGTCATGGTTATCAAAATTCTCTGAAGTTTTATTACTTCTTTGATTTATACATGTGTATTTAATGATCAACATCGTGAGTTGCAGGAAGCATGTACAATGTATTTTATGACACGTAGTTGAAGTGTTAGGAGTATTATGAATAGTTTATTAATGCCCAGGGTATTATCCTAGACTACCTAATGCCTTTGATTTACTAAAGCCACAAAAGTTACACTGGCTTTTTAAAAATTTTTTATGGAGTTAACTTTAGCCACATGGTAAAGCAAAGCTCTGTACAGGTGTTTTCACATGCCTGGTCCATTGACATCTAAGAAATTCAACTCCAGGGTCATAGAGTAAAGAATCAAAAATCCTAATAAAAACCACATGTTAACCATTAATGTTCATTTACCAAATCCTGCTTAAACTCTTGTACTCTCAAAGCTAATTTCATCCAATTGCCTTTTAATTATAGTGTCTTGCTCAGAGTTCCAAATATAATGGCTTTTTAATATAACTCGCACTGTTCTGTATCCAATGTAGGATATAATCATGCAATTTATTCAGTCAGAGCCAGTGCATTAGGCAATTAAAACACAAGCACACATGGATTCTGCACATACATATACCTGGCAGGAGAGTAATATTAAAAATCTGAAAAACCTGCTTTTGGATAGAATTCTATTAATCCTATCCACCAATGGATATTGTAGCTGTGGTGAAATACAGAAATCAAATCATTGCTTGGGCAATCTGTGCACATCTCACATGACAGAGAATAAGATAAAAGAAACTGATGTAAGTGGTATGACATAGTTTGATTATCCAATCTCAGCCTTGGTAGACAGATAATAATTCTCAACAGAGATTAGTTCACTATCCAAGATGTTAGGAGATGAATAGACTCTCAGTATCCTCTGTCCCTTTTATAGGAGGAACACAGAGGGAAAAAGAAGATAATGAGACTAAGATTTTCTCTATGAATTGAGGATGATCAAATAAAATGCAATAATTGAAAAAACCTCTTAAGACTCTTATGGTGATTTGCTAAGTTTTTTTTTCTTTTTGCTTTCAATAAGCATGTATGACTTCAGTAGCAAGTTAAAAGTTATTCATCTTTATTTCAAGGTAATCAAGAGACTTTATAATAAAAAAATATTTTTTGTTGCTATCTTTGAAATAAATATAATTATGGTTTTGATTAACTTTAATATATAAGTGGAGTTTGAAAGCCCTATGTGTTATTTATGATACCAAGAATCTGATAACCTTGGCCTGGAGATTTCAGTTTTGTGTGCAGAACATTTCTCTAGTGTTTCAGGACATAATTGTTGGCCATTAAAAGAAGAAAAAGGATTTGGGCCATAAATGCAAATATCAGGGTAAAAATAAAAATATTTATTTAATCATCAGGATTTATGGTTTGCACAATGCCAACATATAGAAACATACATTAATTAACCTTCCTTTCTTCTTTTCTTTTGTGTTATATCCACATACCTTCTTCCTCTTAAATCCTTAGTAGTATTTTGGAAAAAAAAAAAAAAAAAACACAGCTAGATGGAGGGAACCAAGTAGCATCGTACTTCTAACTAAGAATTTAACTAAGCCTCGGAACCCAGATATATAACCACTTTCTAAGATTAACGTTAAACGAGTCCTGATTTTGCAATGGTTAAGCGCTCATGTGCTAACTAAAGAGTCAGGGGTTTGAACCCACCAGCCATGCCACGGGAGACATATGTAGCAGTCTGCTTCAGAAGATTACAGTCTTGAAACCTATGGGGCAACAATTCTATTTTGTCCTATAGGGTTGATATAAGTCAGAATCAAATCGATAACCACAGCTTTGTTTCGGTTTTGGTAAGATTAATATTGCTTGTAAATATAGGCTTTGAAACTCTGAGAACTGAGTTTTTGTGCTCTGTAAAGAGTGATCTAAAAAAGTAATCAAGCCTCCACTCGGGGCCAATCTTGAACCCAGGCATCTCCAGAGCCTGCTGCTACAACTCTGCCATTGACTTGGTATGGTCTCAACTGTTCCCTATTTAATATCTGTTGCTTACTCCTCAGAGGTGCAGTCCTAATTTATCTCCAAAACAGAAATACACAGGGAACCAAGTCAAACACATTGCTGTAAAAGCAAAAACTAGATAAACCTAATTTCTATCATCCTCATCAAATACAAAATTTCTCCCTAAAGCCTATACTTGAATGTGATTTAGAGGAAGTTCCAAACAGTTTCTGCACCCAACATTCCTTTTAAGTTAGCTTTGAGACTCAGGATCCTCATTCCTAGAGAAACGATGGCATAAATGCCATTATTAAATAAAAATGAAAATATCCAGAATAGTTCACATTTAACAGTTCACTCATAGATAGTAAAGTCAAAAAGTAAGCCACCCTTGTTTTTTCCCCTCAATTTTAAGACATATTTTTGTATTTTGGTATTCTAAAATCAAGATTAATCTTAAAATTAACATGCATATTTAGTGTTGATATTATTCCTGAAAAAGTGTTAAAACGAAGGTAACTATTACCTCCAATGGTCTCAAATCTTAAAATCAAAGAAATACGGTATTCTAACTCTGATTATTAGTAAAATATGCTCCATTTAACATCCTTTGAACAAATCTTTTACATTAGAGCAAATATTTCTGTAGAACAGAATTTTAGAAATAAAATTATTGAACGTAAAAGAATGCCTATTTTTAAAATGCCTTCCAAAATGGCTGTGAAAATTTATACCCTAACCAAGTATAAATAACTTTTCCCTCCACACCCTCACCAACACTGAACTTTGAAGCTTTGCATTTTTTTTGCTAGTTACATAAGCAAATAAATGGTATCTCCTTTTAATGCAGTTTTCTTCAAATTTTTCTCCAGATTTAGCATATTTTTAGGTTATTATTTTGAGATATCTAAAATGGAATGAACTGGATTAATACTATCAAACACCTACTCAAATCTAAATATATGATTTCAATATAGGGTTGATACAATGATAAAATCAAGAATAATCATAAAAATCATACCTACTATTTGAAACAACTACTCACTCATTTATTGATGATCTACACCAAGATTTTCAATTTCTATTATCATCAAATGTAGCACAAAGTATATTCCTAAAAAACATAAGCTAAATGGCTGGAAACTAAAAAGATAAAAATCAAAGCTACTGTTATATATTTATAATATGTGAAAATAAATCAAATTTCTAATAATGTTAAAGGATCTTTTATCCTTTTGAAGTAAGTTCAGTACTGAATTTACTGTTGGAAACACACTTCAGAATATGTACACAATGCTTTTAAAATGGTAGTACAAAGCGTAAGAGTATCTTAGTAACATTAAAATATGCCCTTTAGGCATATATGTTTTTTAAAAATTATTTCCTTCTAGGAATAATTAAGAGGCATATTTACCCTCAATCATTCTTCCCTTAGGATGGCTATCCCATTTAAGGACTATTTCATTGAGTCTTGTTGGCCTTTGCATGCGTTAAGATGTGAGCTTTCAGGTTATTTGACTGAATAAACTTCATATTGCAGCCTTGAAAGGGGCATAAGAAACGTTTCTCCCCAGTGTGGATACGTACATGTGTACGCAAATTGAAGCCCAGGGAAAAGCGCTTTCCACAACCTTCAAAAGTGCACTGGAAGGGCTTCTCTCCAGTGTGAACCAGAAAATGTCGTCTTAGCTTTGAGCTCTCAGTGAAAGCTTTCCCACATTCTGCACACACATGGTCTCGGGGACCATGAACTAGGCGATGCTTTCTCAAGGAGGCTTGATCCCTCAACTTTCTTGTGCATCCACTTTCTGGACAAGTGATTGTGTCTGGGCCATGATATTCTTTACTTTTTCTTGGCTTCTTTTTGGCAAATTCTGCCAGCTGTTTAGGATCTGATAAGTCAACACCAGGTATTCCTCCAGGAGGAAGTTTCTTGCCTGTCATGTACTCAGAATACTCAAGTGAACTCTCCCTCGCAATCTCTTGAGAGTCCTTCTTTTTTCCCCTTTTTTTCTTGTATTCCAAAGAACACCCAAGAAGTGAGTTGTCTTCAAAAACCTGTTGAGCAAGCTCTGGTTCTGACTCTTCTTGCAGGTACTCCAAGGACTTAAGTAAATCCTCTTCCAAGATGGGTTCAGAAAACTCACTTCTTATTATGCATTCTAAGTAACAGTCAGGGAAGCTCTCCTCTTCAACGACCTGCAGGCTAGTCTCATAGTATACATCTTCATCACGTAAGGCCCATGTTGTGTCAGCACGTTCTTTTTCAGCCCGTGGTGCTTGGCTTGACTTGACTTGGTTTGGCTTAGTCCCTGCGAGGGCCTTTCCACCCAGGCCTTTCTGGCAACTTTTTCTTGGTCTTTTCTTCAGCTGGTTCATGTTGTTCTGTTTCCTCCTTGAAGATTTGCACCAGATCTATTAATCACTTCTAGTTAGTGGTGATCTGAATAAGTGGTCTTCAGTAAGCACCTGTTTTGTGATAGAAGTCTTTGTTAAAATATATTTCAATGTTAGAGCCATTGTCAGAAAATGACCTCAAACATCAGGCTAGAACTCACTATTCAATAAAGGAAAGACCACATTTACATCTTCTCTGACAACCTCCTCAGAGGTTGATTAAAGGAATGAGATTGATTAAGGAATGGCTTAAGACATGAGTCATTGTCAGATCTTATCTAGGCATCTTTGCTAATGATCTAACCTATCTAATGAGCATACAAAATAAATAAGTATTGTGTGCTATTGTTATAAAGTGATTAAGTATTATAGAGTAGGCCTTGGAAAGCAGGAACTTGCAATTTTAAATATGGCAGTCAGGCAAACTTTCACACAAGTGGCAGCTGATTAAAAACTTGAAGGAGGTAAGAGAGCAAGTTATGCTCGTTTTCTTATGTGACATTGCTGTGAAATTTCAATTTAAATAATGCACAGAGTACTGAGCACAGTCCATGACATATAGCAAATGTACAATCTTTATTTGAGCTGTTATTTTATTACTTTTTAATAAATACCAAACCAAAACCAAAACCAAACCCAAAACTCATTGCCATCGAGTCAGATCCGACTCATAGTGACGTTCCGTGGGTTTCCGAGGAGGTATCTCTATGGAACTAGATTAGATTGCCCAATCTTCCTTCCTAAGAGTGGCTGGTGGGTTTGAACTGCCAGCCTTCTAGTTAGCAGTCAGATGCCTTAAGCACCACACTATCAGAGATCCCTGCTATGTGCCAGGTATTATTCTAGGCCAGAAGTGGCAAACTTTTCCTGTAAAGCACCAGGTAGTAGTTACTTTAGACTTTCGTGGGTCCTATGATCTCTGTCACAAGTATTCAGCTCTTCCACTGTAGTGATAAAAAAAAAAAAAAAAAACCATAGATAATACATAAAGGAATGAGTCTGACTGTGTTCCATAAATCCAGGGGCTTCTGGATTTGGTGTCTGGGCCATGATAGACAGCCCATCATTGTTCTACAAGATAAGTATCTAAGAGAACAGGACTCATGAGGTCTGAGCATTCCCATCTTTGTGAGTCTAAGTCAAAATAAAAGCACAGGGAAGTTTGGCCCTAAATAATTTTCCATCATTTCCTTGAAAATTCTAAAGTAACATTACGAAAGTTATGACATGAATGGTATTGTTTTCTTGTAATCTTTTGCTTAATGTTACAATTGTGTGCCTAAAATTATATACACTTTTGAAAAAAGGCCCAATGTGAAATGAACATCTTGAAGATATATTTAAGTAGCCACATTTAAAAACAATGCCTCAACAGAATCATGCAAAAAATAAATACATAGAATAAAAATTAAAGATGTTTTTCAACTGCCAAGGGACTAGTTTTAAAATGTGATATACATCAATTAGAATTAAAATGTTAAACAGCACAAATATTATGTATCCTGTTTTTTTAAAAAAGGAGCTCTGTTGGTGTAGTACCTAAAGCATTGGAACTGATAACCAGAAGGTTGGCGGTTCAAATCCACCAGCCACTGCACAGAAGACTTGTCAATCTACTTCTGTAAAGATTTACACCCTTGGAAACACAAAGGGGTCTCTATAAGTCAGAATAGACTCAATGGCAGTGAGTTTTTTGTTGTTGTTGTTGTTTTTCTTTAGAAAGGTAAAATAAAACAAGGAAACCATGTCCAGAAATTCTTTGTCCAACAAAATCTTGCTCTTATAACTGAAAATAATTATTTTTTAAAATGAGCATTAACATTTTAGGAGCAAACTTTCTAGCAATTGGTACAATGCTAGAGAAGGACTGAAATAAACCCTCCCCACCCTCAGAGAAAGAGAATTAGCTCATTAACAATTACTGCAATTTGTTTGCTTCCCGATTGTCTTTGCTGCTTTCTCTCTTGCTGTCTCCAGTTCTCCTATTTCATGATTCAACCATAAAAAAATCTCAGTCTCATTCACCTCTTCTCTCTCATGAAAATACTATACACCCTCACTCCTCTTCCAGCCTATCATGCAGGCACACACACTCTGGATCACTTCCCCAGGCACGCTTTCCTTGATTCTTAGGCTAGTTCAGTTTGAGCTAAATGTTCCCCTAGTTCCCTATTTACAATGAACACAGCCCACTGGTATTGATTGAGGTTTATCTTACCTGCTATGCTCAAAAGGTCTATGAGGGAAAGTCTCTTCTGAGTGAGTTGTTCACCATCTACTCCAGCACATAGAACATTTGACTAATGAAATAAATTGAAAAATATGTGATTAGCCGCCATACATACTATTTAACTACTTTAAAATTAATCAATTAGCAAATTATTTGGGACTTTGTTGTTGTTGTTGTTATGTGCCGTCGAGTCAGCCCCGACTCATAGCGACCCCTCAATTAATGCACAAGTTTCAAAAAGTTGACATTCATTGCTGAGTGAAATAAGACAGTCACAAAAGGACAAATATTTATCATCTTACTTATATAAAATACCTAGAACAGGAAGTGTCTAAAAATCAAGGAGTTCCTGGGTAGTGCAAAAGTTAACATGCTTGGTTGTTAATTGAAACGTTGGAGGTTCAAGTTTTCCCAGAGGCACCTTAGAAGAAAAGCCTACTGATCTGAAAAATCGGCCTGTGAAAATCCTATGGAGCACAGTTCTGTTTTAATATACATGGGGAATCCACTCCATGGCGACTGGTTACAGAGACCAGATCAACGTTTATTAGTGGTTACCACGGGTAGGAAAGGAATTATAATCTAGGGGGCAGTTTTTGAGCTTCTGTTAAAAAAAACAATAAACTCATTGTTAAGGAAGACAGATTGGTGATGCCTGCACATGATGAACATAATGAATGTTACTCAACTGCACATTAAAAAATGTTGAAATGAATACTTTGTTATATACATTTACCTCATAGTCACAAAGACTACCAGAACTCTAAAAGAAATTAAAAAAAAAAAAAAAAACTAATTTGAAACACTTGCAACACACAAGAGGGAAAAAAAAAAAAAAATCTTGCTATTAGTGATGCAAGATATTTTCTAGCAAAGTCAGTTCCTAAGAGATTAAGGTTGGGAAGAAGCATTTTTAAGCAATTTACCAAGATCCAAGTAAAACCCCAACCTTTTTAAACTAGATCCTTATTTGTCTGATCTTTGAGCGTTAACCCAATTCTCAAAGTATACAAGCCAGTGAAAAAGACATATAAAATTGAAATAGTAAATTATTAATTTATGAGAAAATCCCTGTAGATATGACCAGCACATTTGTTAGTAGAAATACCTACATGGAAAACCAAACTTTCTAGGTAAACATGTGATGAGGACAAGACCTGAATATGCTGTTGAAGTTACTAATCATCTACTTGATTCTGACTCATGGCGATCCCACGTGGACAGTGGACAGAGCAGAACTGCTCCAAAGGGTTGCACTTTCAGGGCTGTGACCTTTGGGAAGCAGATCGCCAGGTTTCAGAAATGGCTAAGGCCAAAGTTGGAGCACAGGTTTAATCACATTTGCACCACACAGGGACGACCTGACCATGGAACAACAAAAAGATAAAAAGCTTTGGTCTTCATGGAGCTATATCCTTGGTGCAAGCAGACAATAAATGGTAAGTAAACAAAACAAGTTTCAGATTGAGGAAAATACTATGAAAAACAAAAGAAAACATGAGTATGTGTGGGAAAGTAACTGGGGCAGCCATCTTCAGAAAGAATGTCAGGAAATGCCTCCATTAGACCAGAGATCAGAAAAGAAAAGGCGGGAAGTGTTCACTATAGGCGATAGGATTTACTAAGGTAATCCCTTTAGTATGCTACTAGAGAGGAAAAACCAAAAACCAAACCCACTGCTATGGAGTAGGTTCAGACTCATAGTGACCCTATAAGACTGAGTAGAACTGTCCCATATGGCTTTCCAGGGCTGTAAATCTTTGCAAAAAGCAGACTGCCTCATCATGCTTCCGCAGAGCAGCTGGTGGGTTCAAACCACCAAGCTTTTGGTTATGAGCCCAATGCTTTAACCACTGTACCACCAGAGCTCCCACAGGAGAAAGGAAACCTTATTTATTAATGAATACTTCGAGTGGGTACACCTCATTGTATGAAGACTACAACTGCTCCATAAAGTTTTCAAGGCTGTGACTTTTCCAAACTAAGACAGTCGTCAGAGGAGTCTCTGTGTAGGTTTTAACCTCAAATCTTTGGGCTGGTAGTCAAGCCCTCAACCTGTTCCACTACCCTGAGTGCAACTAAAGAAGGTACTAGTCTACAATATGGTTGAGGGTGGCAGAATTTTACCAGTGCTGGAAGTCATCTTAATTTCATTCCAAGACCAATGGGAAACCATTTCAGGGTTTCAAACAGGGAAATTAAAACCTCTGGGTTATATTAAACGGAGTCTTTGGATGGTATAATTAATGCACTTGGCTTTAACCTAAAGGCTAGAGGTTTGTGCTCACCCTAAGAAAGGCTTTGCAATCTTCTTCCAAAAAACCCTACGGAGCACACAGTTCCACTCTGACATACATGATGTCGCCATAAATTGTAATCTACACGACAGGAAACAGTTTTACACATTGGCCTATGGTATTAAGATTACTCAAGCTGCAGTAAGGAAAATGGATTGAAGCAGTTAAGAGTGAAAGCGAAAAATCTCTTAGACCATTTAGTAATTCCGGAAAGGCTTTTGTTAGTGGTAATGAAATGGGGGGAGGGCGAGATGGAGACAAAACCTTCCAAGCTGCTGGTGGACCGGATAAAGGAATAGAGCACAATCAAGAATGAGTCGTCCCAGGTTTTTTGCTGGAGTAATTGGGCATAACCACCATTAGCAGAGATGATGAAGGGGGAGAGGGGAGATAGTTTGGCTATCTTGATAATAAATAACTTAGAACTTTATATATATATAAATCCTTATTTGTCT